TGAAACTTTGTGGCCCATGCGCAGAAGTCGGTTTTCAGCCTGGGCGAGTCTATTTTGAAGAAGTGGCGTTAGAAGAAGTGGGGGTACGTTCACTGAGGTCGACCCCTCAGATTGAGGACGTTTTTAGCAAAGGCCAGCTTAGGAGTACCCTAATTAAGTTAATGACAATGTACCTACCTATATAGTTTCAGTTTAAAAAATTTGGCTCTCAAAAGAAATTTCAATCGTTGTACCGTTGATTTTTGGCTCTGTTGCCTAATGAGTTTGCTGACCACTGGTATAGATCATTAAGAGACGGACGCACTCCATCCCAAAGAATGTGTTTACATTTGATTTAAGCACCAATGTCACAATAAGAGACGGACACACTCCATCCCAAGGAATGTGTTTACATTTGATTTAAGCACCAATGTCACAAGAAAAATATGATATAATATGACGGAGTTTGATGAGAGGGAACATTATCAAGTTGGAAGGATTGGCAGGATTGACCTAAGAAAACAACCCTTCCTCCACACGTTTCTCCTCTCTCAGGGCTGCAACAGCACGACATACATCCAGGATGCCTTCCAGCTGCTGCTGCCCGTTCTGCAGGTTTCCCATATCCAGGCCAGCCCTTCAGAAGCACAGCCATGACCGGACCAGACTCCATCTGCTTAAAGGAAGCAGCAGGCCCCGTGGCTCTGATATATTTATCATTGAAGGTGATATTTTCTATGCATCTGCCCATAGACACCGATTTGAGGACACTACAAGCAAGTTTGCACAGACAGTGTTGAGAATGCAAGTTTAAAGAGTATCCTGTCTCTTAATGTATATGGTTGTTCTTACAAATAAGAGTGTTTTCTTGATGTTAATTTAAACTTACTCAGCTTTGTATTGGTCATGTCCTTTCATCTGAAATTCATTCACAAATACTCATTGCCATTTTCCTGGTCAAGCATCCCATATTTAGAAATTCATGGGCAGACCCTACATGGTTTTTTTTGACTCTTTAAATTTCCACCTTTAAATTTTCCATTCTTATAGTATTAGTTTAAATCAGTTCTTATACTGAACTTAATTTTATTACATAAATGTCATGGACAAAGATAACATTACTTATATATTTACCTGTAATATTTAAAGGGAAACATAAGTATCTCTTTAGAGCCACTCATTCTCAAAACAAGCATTTATTGAGCTCCTACTGTATGCTCACAACACGGGAACATGATCTCACCCCAATAGAGATAGATTGAAAGAGGGTTTATAATCATTCTTAAACTGCTTTAAAACACTAATAAATTTTCTAAACCTTAAAATATTTGACAGAACAAGGTAAATTCATAGTTTTTAAAATGTTCTACCCTTCCATTTATTCTATTTTTCTACCCTTTCTGCACTTTTTTATCCCCAGACTTTGTACATGGGTGAACATATACATGAAAAGGGGTACTATAGAGTATTTGGTTTAAAACTGACTTCTTATGACTATAAATACATGATAGCATAATTACAAAGCTTGGAAGTATTCAATTAGAAAACTAAAGGGATTCCAGCACAGTAGACCCGTAGGACTGCATTTTTAAATCTACTACAGTGGCGTCAGGCTGTTTTATGAATACACAGATCATGTTCACCAGCAGCAAATACTATCATTGCTTCTAAGGGGCAGGAAACCCTGATGTGTGGGTTGACTAACTAGTATATTGATCCACGAGAGACTGCACAGAAGACCCTTCAGCTGGGAGAGGCATCTCCAATGGGCATTTCTTTTCCTAAACTCCATATGCTCATTCCGGGTGGGGGTGCTAGTAGAATGCTTCTGTTTTAGACATCCTCACAGGCACTGTCACAAGATGTCTTGCCCAGTGGTTCTCTCCAGGGCAGATAGAGCCTATATTTTTGCAAGTGCGAAAAATCCTTCCTTTGCATTTGCTTGTGTTCCCCTGATAGCCTAGACTGCCTTTGTTCCATGCAGGCATTGCATTTGTCTATGTTGTGTATTTCATTTGTGTATCTGCTGAAACGGCCAAATAGAAAACATAAAAACAATTTATTTACAATCTGGAAAAGAAATTATTCAAGGCATCCATTAAAGATGGTGTTGTTGTTTTTTCTACTGGCTTTTTGATTGGTTGAAACGTTTCTGTGATTAAATCTAGAAAACAATTAACTGATGAAAATGTTACATCGACCTCTTCAGAAATTTATACTTTTTATCTAGAGAGCAGAGGAAAGGACTTAGATTTACAGTTTCTTCACATCAGGTTTTTTTTTTTTTTTTAGGACTTAGATTTACAATTTCTTTACATCAGGTTATTTTAGCATCAGATAGATTTTATAGACACTAACTGGAACTATAAAAGAAATCATTTCAAAGAAGCTAGTCTTTAAGCCTAACTACACCCATTTGGTGTACAACAAAATTTTAATCATGAACTAAAATAGAAATCTGTAAAAGAATGAGAGATAATTATTCTTTTTAAAATTTTTTATTGACTTGAGAGAGAGACATGGATTTCATTCCACTTATTAATGCATTCATTGGTTGATTCTTGTATGGATAATTATTCTTTTTATAATTTTTTTTATTGACTTGAGAGAGAGAGACATGGATTTCACTCCACTTATTAATGCATTCATTGGTTGATTCTCGTATGTACCTTCATCAGGGATTAAACCCACAACCTTCGTGTATCAAATGACACTCTAACACACTTAGCTACCCGGCCAGGGCTGAGAGATAATTATTCTTTTAAAAAGTGGGTGACATGCCCTGACCAGTGTGGCTCAATGGATTGGAGCATTCTCCCATGCGCTAAAGGGTTATAGGTTCGATTCCTGGTCAGGGCACATACCTAGGTTGTGGGGCCGATCCCTCGTCAGATGCAAGTGGATCCATGTTTATCTCTCTCTATCTCGCTGTTTTCCCCTCTCTCTAAAATCAATAAATGTATCCTAGGGTAAGGGCTTTTTTAAAAAAAACTGGGTGACATAATTTACATTGCATTTTCATGTATTTTAATGATAGAATATCAAATGTTGCCAGGTAAAGACATAAGCTGAGAGATGATTCCCAGAGCCTAGCTCCATGGTCTGTGAATTACATTATTTAAGAGAGAATACTCACTTAATATATATCCACCTTCCAGAATTGCTCTCTTTCAATACGGTTTTTCACCATCACTTTTAAATAATTGCTTCTTTGCTTTGCTTTAAAAGCTGGCAAAGCACAGGATCCAGATCTAGGTGAAATGTCAATCGGTGCCTGAATGAATGATTTAGCAGCCTTACTCTGGAAGTTTTCTATTCCTTCAATAATCCTTTACATAAACTGGGTTCATTTCACTCTGTGCAATTACCCTGAAGAAGCATGCCAGATTTTTCTTACATCAAGTGCAAAATAAGTTCTAGTCTAAATAATGGATGTAGTTCCGTGCCTGTGCCTTATCAAATGAAAAGCATCAAAAGCCAATTTCAAATTCAAAGCAAAATGCATCCAAGGAAAATCCCTTTGGGGTATCTATATAATAAAAACCCAGTGGTCATAATGCTGTAACGACCAAAGATTGGTCACCAGGAGGCTGCGTGCACGGCAAGGCATGCACGGGTGGTCGGGGACTTGACTCTGGGTCCCGCAGCGCACAGGGACTCGGGGGAGTGCCACAGCACTGGTGGGCTCAGGGGTCCCGGGTCTCATGCAATTTCCCATGGGTCTGGGTCTCATGCAATTTCACGTGCTGGGTCACTAGGTGATATATATACCACTAAAGGACAAAACTGAGTCCCAAATCTTAAAGCAGAGGCCCAATCTTAAATATTCTGTCCCTCTGAGCACAGACGTCTCTCTCTTCTCTGGCCTCACACTGGGCTGCACATCAAGCTCATGGTTAAATGAGTGGAGTTACTGGCTTGAGGCAGTGGCAGGACTGGGCTGAGTTCCTTACACCAACAAGGAACCATGGGCCTCAGTGGCAGAGCTCACAGGGCATGAAAGAAGCACCAGCTTTGGGCAGCCTCAAGGAAAGTGATAAGTGTAGGGTATGGGAAGCCGCCTATTGTCTTCTCTAGCAGAGAGGTGTGGACAAAGAGTCCAGAATGCTGGTGACCCTTGAGCCCTGGCTAAGGTCAGAGCTATTCACCGACTCTTTAGTCAAGACAATGGTAGCTGAAGCAACTTCCCCACCAGATCATCATGTAAATCCTTACTGGTAAGATAGTCTGCCTGTTACTGGAACTTGCCTGCCTAAGGGCTATGGGTGGATCCCAAACTGAATAAAAAGATGGTGAGGCCTGAGCACAAGCGGAGTCCATCCTCTTGGGATGGGCTCTCGCCTGGCCCCCCAATTTCTAAATTATTATCTCTTGTCTCGTCTCTTTCATTTGTGTGCAGCCCCTCTTCCAGATCCTGAACCCTGAACCACGCAGGACAAGGGGAAACTTACACAGTAGGGTACGTGTCTGAATCCAGAAATGAGAACCGTTTCTGCTTTGTAGAAGTCAGATGCCCCAGGGGCTCGCATGTCTGGGAACTCACCTTCCACGCAGGCCAACCACGCTCACTTAAATTAGGGACAAAAGCAGACAGATTCTGCCCTAACCCATTTGGCTCAGTGAATAGAGCATCGGCCTGCGGACTCCAGGGTCCCAGGTTCGATTCCAGTCAAGGGCATGTACCTTGGTTGTGGACACATCCCCAGTAGGGAGTGTGCAGGAGACAGCTGATTGATGTTTCTCTCTCATGGATGTTTCTAACTCTCTATCCCTCTCCCTTCCTCTCTGTAAAAAAATAAATAAAACATTAAAAAAAAAAAAAAAAAGCAGACAGATTCCAATCATAGTTATCCCAGAAATCAGAACATAATGTGTCTTAGGGAAGTAATTCAGCACAAATGTGAAACAAACATATTTCTCTTCTTTTCTAAAAATATATATGTACACATATATACTATATGTGTATATATATTTGTTTGCTAAACAGATGGGGTGGATCATAGCACATGACTTCAATCTGTATTTAATTTTATAAAAGCAATGATTCTTCAGGGTCAAGCTCATTTTTGTCATGTAAAGATTGCCCTTTGATCTTCCTCTCAAGCGTGCCCTACATTTTTATATTCAGATCCAGCTTCCACTTGGTTTTTTAAATTCTCGTGTTTGTAAAGACACATCAGAAGAGATCATATTGAAAATTCATCTTAGAACTGCAATTTTGCCCTGGTTTTGTAGTTGATTAGAATTCAACAAGCCATAGGAGTGGATTCAAATAAAAAAAGGGGGGGGGGGGAATCCTGTGTTAACCATTTGTTTCATTTTTCTAGATATCTCATTACTTATTCAGGTTTATGTTCATTTTCTGTGTGTTCATCTATAATAGATGCTCCATTCAGTATCTGCTATTAAACAAATATGAGGAAAGATACCATTCTGTTCTCCCCACCCCCTCTCTTTAGGTCCTAAAAATAATCTGTTATTCTACCCTTTGAGCATTTTGCCTTCTACGGTGATTAAATTGTTACAGCCCAACAGTCAGAAATGCATTGATTGTGTTTCTTATATCTCTGGTGTCTAGGGTCATCATAGACTGGGAATAGAGGCTGATTATGGAAGGTCAGGATTTCGTGTTGGGATTTAAGCTACATTTACCTTTGTCTGGATCAAAGAGTGTTTTTCTCTGCATGAGCTGTCAGCCAAAAAGAAATAGGATTATGTCTGCCATGGTCACTGCTGGCTCACTTCACAGGCCTGTCTCTTATGAGTCTCAAAAGAATTCTATACTGCAAAAGAATAACATGTACATTTCTCATATGCCTTCACTGAATATAGAAGTTTAGGGCAATTCGGAGATGGAGTATCTCCCTGACCCAAGTTGCGAGTTGCAACACCAGGCTTCTAGAGCTGCCATTTGGAGGGAAAAACCAACGTAGAAGCCAAGGCCAGATGGATGAAACCTTGGCAGAAAGCAAAGCTAAGCCTCTGTCTTTGAGTCCCTGCCATGTTTATCCTTTTTCTCTCGGGATTTTTTTTTTTTCCTGACAGTCATTAAGTGCCTCTTTTCCGGGATCAGCTTTTAAAGTCCTGCCTCTCTTTTCCATATCTCTTTCCTTTCTCTTTCTCTGTAACTTATATTATCCTTTCTCCGTTTATCTCACCAGAAAACAATCCATCCAAAAGACTTGAATAATAATAATTACTGTGTATTGACCACATGCTGGGCACTGTGCTGGATGTTTTATATGCATTATCTCATTTAATTTCCATAATTACCCAACCGGGTAGGTATTATTACATTTGCCACTGCATGAATGAGAACATTGAGACCCAGACAAATTATATAACTCATCTGATGTTACACAACTAGTAAGACAGAGCCAGGGATTCAAACCGAGGTCAGTGTGACCTGACTAGCATTTTAAACTCTTATACAGAGCCTCCTGATGGAAGAGAAGCGTAGCGTGTTAATTTTAGAGACATCGAATGCTTATAGGTTTCGCTCTCTTTGTGCCGTGAGGTGGATTTATAGCTGAAAGATTTGGTCCGTCAGCTTTGGTTGTTTCTGTGAAACTAAGAACAAGCTGGGACTAAAGAGACACAGAATGAAGCCAGGCGAGGTTATTGGGCCCCTGGGCTGTTCTCACCGCAGGCCTCTCCACCACTTCACAGGCATTTACATCCAGCAGCTCCCTGGTCATCATGAACACAGCATCCTGTCTCACAGGTGCCTCTGCTATTCCTAAACTGGCTTCATTTCCCCCTCCCACCCCCCTTCTCACTGCCCAGGAAGCTCATTTGTAAATCACCGCCCATCCTGAAAATCCTTAACCCTCTACTCCCTGTCTGGAGCATGGGTGTTTTGAATGCTTTCTTTGCCTTGAAGATTACCAACTTGTCTCACAGTCTTTCCGCTGAATCTTCAGTACCAGGTGCTGTGACATACTGATAAATGATTTAAAGATGGCCCTAACCAGTTTGGCTCAGCGGATAGAGCATCGGCCTGCGGACTGAAGGGTACCAGGTTCAATTCCGGTCAAGGGCATGTACCTGGGTTGCGGGCACATCCCCAGTAGGGGGCATGCAAGAGGCAGCTGAATTGATGTTTCTCTCTCATCGATGTTTC